CTCACTCTCTCACCGCCATCTTTGAAGACGCATAACTCTCTTTAAAATTGAGCTTTCTAGATGATTATTGGGCCATTTTGGAGGGAATTTTGAGGTGTTTTCGATGAAAACCAAAATTTTCAAAAAAAAATTTTTTAGGTCGGCAACAAGCTGCTCCAACTCATCAGCAAGTGCTGGAAATCGCCCACACCGGAGCTCATGAGTCACGCCGTTGAGACCACCAACAAAATCCAGAATCTCCGCACGATTGCCATCGTTCCCGCCTCCAAACGGGTCCCCCTCACCGCTTTCACCTGTGAGCTCTACAATCAACTCTCCAAACATGTCAAACTGCTTCGTCTGAGCTCTGCGGTTATTGGCAACTATTTCGAGCAAGAAGTGATCACGAATAAGGCGGATTATGGTCTAATGCACTGGTTGAATGTGCAAGAAATTGCGTATTCTTTGGTCCTTTATCAGTGTGATTTTCATAAGACGAGTTGGACGAGACGATGTCTGAGAATGGCTGATGCGATTTTGGTGGTGGCCATTGGGAATGAGGGAAGGGATCAGCAAGTGTTGGTGGGTATTTTGGAAAAAAGAAAAAAAGATTTGACACCGGTGGGGGTCGAACCCGCGTCCAATATTTACGAAACAGGCGCGCTAGCCACTAGGCCGCGGGGGCAGACGACAGCCGAGGAAGAGGAAGGCGTAGAGATTGTTTCTCTGTTCTCTGCCTCTGCCACTCGAGGAGAGGGGGGGGGGGGAGGAAGGGCGCGCTTTCAAAAATATGTACAGATGGCTCAGTGGATCTTCGGTGCCAATCTGAAAGGAAATGGACCCGGGTTCGATTCCCCGTGGTACCAATTACTTTTGTTTTTTCTTCTAAAAGCCTAATAGGATGTCCTGAATCGTTGGGTGTCATCGAGTCCATCAGAAATGCCCTTTTTGCCGATTTAATTGATCATATTTATCTTCCAGGCCGACTCCCTACTCTCCTGCAACGAAAAAGGCGTCCGACAATCCAAGGAATTGGTCCTTCTCTGGCCAGAATCCACCCCGACACCACGTGGCACCGCGGCGTGGATAAACGAATCCTACTACTCTGGATACCACCATCTACGAGCTCCAAATCGAGTTTTCAGTTTTCCGGGAAGAGCAACCGAAATGAAGGTAGGGCTCCCAGACCCCATACCCCCCTATGCCCTTATATTACAGGTTGTCGATTTCTACGAGACCACTGTCTATTGTGAGGCGAGCGTCCAATCGGATTTCTCCCGCCTGGCCCGGATCCTGACTGGAAATGCGATTGGAGTGGTTTTCGGAGGGGGCGGGGCTCGTGGGGCCGCCCATGCTGGAGCACTTCGGGCTCTGATTGAGAAGAAGGTGCCGATTGATATGGTGGGTGGAACGTCGATTGGAGCACTTTTTGGATCACTTTATGCCACTTCTCCGGACATTAGGGCGTCGTCGAGGATGAAGAACTTTTTTGCCGTGAGTTCTTGGGGGCTCAGCTTGGTCCTTTCGGGAGTACCCTCTTGTATTACAGGACCGCCAACGCAACAACATTCTCGACGTGCTCCGCGATTTGACATGGGCCTATTGTGCGATTTTGACGGGTCATCGATTCAATTTGTGAGTTTTTCTGAGGGAGAGACAGCAGAGAAGCTAGACAGTCTGGCTTCTCTGCGTCTCTCCTCTAGGATAGAAAGAGGAGAGAATAGAGCGCAGTGAAGCTAGACGGTCTCGCTTCTCTGCGTCTCCTCCGTAGAGAAGTCAAAGAGAGAGAGAGAGAGAGAGAGAGAGAGAGAGAGAGAGGAGAGAATAGAGCGCAGAGAAGCTAGACAGTCTGGCTTCTCTGCCTCTATCTCCTCCAGAAAAGAGAAAAAGAACCAGCCTAATTTGAATCTTCCAGATGTGTGCAACGAATGTTGGACGATGTGAAAATCGAGGATTGCTGGATTTCGTATTTTTGTATCACAACGGACTTGACGTATGTTTTCTCTCTCTCTCTCTCTATCGCTCCTCCTTCTAGAGGAGAGACGCAGAGAAGCTAGACCGTCTAGCTTCTCTGCGCTCTCGCTTTCACTCTCACCGCTTCCCAGGTCCTCCTCCATGCGAATCCACCGCAGCGGTCTCATGTGGCCCGTGGTCCGTAGCTCCATGTCGATCGCCGGTTACGTCCCGCCCATCTGCGACCCACAAGATGGTCACCTGCTTCTGGATGGTGCATATGTCAACAATCTCCCAGCGGATATCATGAAATCCTTGGGAGCCAATGTGGTGATCGCTCTGGATGTCGGGATGTCGGATGAGAATTTGAATTTGAGAGATTATGGATACTCGATTAGTGGTAAGTGTCTTCTGGGACCTCTGATACAAGGACGCCGGGGCATCAGATCATCAAAAAGAGGCATTCTCGAATGTTATTAGCACTCAGGACGGCCTGAGAGATTATAAGATGAAAAAACAAAAAGAATTGCCACCATGGGGAATTGAACCCGAGTCCATTTTCCTTCAGATTAAAACCGAAGATCCACTGAGCCACCTGGACACTATTTTTTCGTTTTGAACGGGCGCCTCTCCCCCTCCCCCCCCCCCCCTCGAGGCAGAGGCAGAGAAAGAGAGAGAATGTCTACGCCCTCCACCTCTGTGTCGTCGCTTTCCCCCGTGGCCTAGTGGCCTGCGCTCTTGCTTTTGGATCTGGGGGTCCCAGGTTCAATCCCCCTTGGGGTCAAATCTTTTTTTTCTTTTTTTCTAGATATTTCTTGCAGGTACCTGGTGCCTATTCAAACGTTGGTGGCCATTTGGAGAGGAACTCCGTGTGTTGAACATGTCTGAAATCCAGAATCGACTGGCCTATGTCTGTTGTGTCAATCAGATGGAGACGGTCAAAAATGCACCGTACTGTTACTACATCAAACTTCCGATCGATAGTCTTGGCATTTTCGATTTTTCGAAATTCGATCAGGCGGCGGTAATTTGAATTTTTTTTTGAAGTCTAGAATAATTATCGATTTTCCAGCAAATCGGCTACGAGGTGACAAGTCAAAAACTCGAAGAATTCTTCGAGGACTCTGTCGGATCCCGACGGAAATTGCTCGGGTGTGCACGGAATAATGGAGGATTGACGGCTCAAAAATCGAAAAATGACAATATTTTGTCGTTTGTCAATATGCCAATTCTCCCGAAGACACCGAATGATGTGAAGTCGGATTGAAGTGGGGGTGGAAAACGACTAGAGATTTCAAAAGTTTCGCGGCTCTTTTTTTTGGTCAATAAATGAATTATTGATTGAATTTTTGTTGTAAAAGTAGATCAACAAAATCTTTATCGATTGATATGTCATTTACCAGAGCATCGCTTGTTTTTCGAGTTTTTGGATTTACACCAATTGTTTCAAATTTTCGAATTCCAGCCAATTTTTTTTTATTTTCGAACTTTCACTAAAATTTTCAAATTTTTAAATTCCCGCCAAAACTTCTGAATTTTGCATTTTCGAATTCAAGGTAAAATTATTAGGTTTTTGAATTCCCGCCAAAATTTTCGAATTTTCGAATTCCCGCCGAAAATTTTTTGAATTTTGAGTTCCCGCCAAATTTTTGAATTGTTGAATTCCCGCCAAAATTTTCAAAATTCGTGATTCTCACCAAAATTTCTGAATTTTTGAATTCCCGCCAAATTCAATAAAATTTTGAATTCCCACTAAAAATTTAGAATTTTTGATCTCCCGCCATTTTTTTTTTTCGAATCCTTGATAGTATTTGTTGGGGACCTGCGGTGCAATAGAGAATCAGAAAGGTCGACACGTCTTCATTTAATTATTTAATTATTCTCATTTCTAAAATGTGTCTTGAGACGTGACCCCAAAAAATCCAGAAATCGGATGGATGAACATTATTTTTGAAACCAGCGTGAATTCCCCATTCGAACCCAAGTTGTCCGGTTTCAAATGGTAGCCTATGAACAATTTTAGTTTTATTTTTTGGCCAGTTTTCCACAAATTTCCAGTTTTTTCCTTGACCTGGAAAACTTTTGAACTCAATTTTTTCTGACTCTTATTTCTTTTCATAGAGTATCTATGAAAAGAAAGGGGGCTACATAGAAGTACTATTTTGATACCCAATTTCGATCTCTGAACCCAATTATAGGATGGAAACGACGGTCCCAGTACGAAAAAATTCGAAAATGTCAAAAAATTAGAGCACATTTTTATGGCTCACAAGTTGGAGAGTGGTCCGATTGACTCGAGTTATGGCTCATTAGATAGAACTCGGCGAGTTACATATTGCCTGTGAATTGCAAACGGATCCTTCAAAAACTGGGCCAGTAGGAATTTAAAGAGTGAAAATTTATTTAAATTTTCAGTACAATTTTTGTTTGACACAATGGTAGGTCGCACATTCCTCATAATATCCCCGCTCAAAATGATCCACCCACCACGCCGAAAAGTTCCCCACATAGCCAGAACGATTTCACAAGCGCCCAAAATTTTGCGAACGATTTACTCTAAAATGGAGCTCACACGACGCGCGCAAAGTTGAAAAATTGGCGATTTTTGACGTTTTTGTGGGGACATTTTTTGCGAAAAAATCGTTCACCCCTGCACATTCTATATTTAAGGGAGAAATTAGAATTCCTACCAAAATTCTCAAGTTTTCGAATTCCCGCCAAAAATTTTTCAATTTTTTTTTGAGTTACCGCCAAAATTTCTGAATATTTCAATTCCCGCCAAGCTTTTCAAAACTCCGAAATCCCGCCTAAATTTTTGAATTTTTGAATTTCTGACAAAATTTTTTCAATTTTTTTTTGAGTTTCTGGCAAAATTTTGGAATTTTTGAATTCTTGCCGAAATTTCTGGGTTTTCAAACTTCCACAAGAAATTTTTCTGAATCTTGAGTTTTCCGTAAAACTTTCAAAATCCCGTTAAAACTTTCGAATTTTTGAATTCCCGCCAAACCAATTTTTTTTTTGAAACAGGAAAGAAAAACCCCGTTATCCTCGATTTTTTATTCGATTAAAATAGTTTTTTTAATAGACTTTTTCCCAAGAAAACTCCCCATGAGCCCTTGACACATCCCTTATTTTCACCTCAATGCCCTCTAAAACCTGCAAAATTTATCCCCATTTGGGACCAGATTTGCGTCACAGCCACCATTTTTTTTTTGAATTTTCAGCACTTATTTTAGACACCTCCATCCCAAAAATGATTCATTATCATAGTCTGATTGATCTGGGGAATAATCTAAAATCATCGCCCGCCCTCAAGCTTCGCCCCTTTTGACCCGAACGTCATCTTTTTTTGTCTAAAAATAATTCATATTCATTCTAGATCATTCTATGAAATTTAGGAAGACAGCGAGAGAAAGAGATGTGGAAGGAACCAAAAAGAAGCCGGAAATTTGTATAAATTTCAACGAAATCTTGAGGAAATTTCGAGAAAATCCCTTCCGCCAGGAAATGTTCTCTGAAACTACTAAAGAAGCCCCAAAATTTTGGAAATTTCCAAAATCCGCCTTCGCATCTTGTCTGACGTTTTTATGTCATTTTTCTTCATTTTTAGTTATATAAATCCGTGGGAAATTTTGATTTTCCTCTTGAATCTACTTTCCTTCACAGTTTCCCGAGGTATGATATTTTTTTTTCCCGAGGTATGATATTTTCTGGGAGGGGCTTGGGCGGAGG